AGTAAGTAACCAGGGTGTGTAGATTTAAGGTGAGGGGCAAGAGGGGATTTAAGGAAAAATGTTTTCATCCATAAAATGGAGGATATAAGGTTAGTAAAAGCAAAATCCCAACATTCAAAAAGTATTTAAGCAAACACTTCAAATGCCCTAGCATGCAAGGCTACAGAGTATGTGCTGTCGAGTGGACTGGTACTTGATGACTAGCATGAACATGATGGACTGAAGGGCCTCATACCTGTTAGATTGGGAACAGTTGGAAAAGCTTCGAGAGAAGAACCTTGCCAGAAGTAAGTGGAAGGCCCAAAAACCGCTCAACCTTTTATACAAAAACTTCAATACAGACTTTCGACAATGTGTTCAATCCTTTTTCTGTATTGAGGATGGAAATCAGATGGATGTAGAAAACAGAGGTAGGAAGCTTGATTTAGAAAATAAGTAACTTTTTAGTTGTTCTTTTAGTATGACTGGACAGTTAAGACGTATAGTTGTGATTATTCATTGATTTTTGTTCAGTAAAATTATTCTGATTTAAACTGAAACATGTGGCTTTGCTCTGAGTAATTACCTGAGTTTTTGGGTTCTGAAAAGACTTTACTGGTCTCTGCCATGATCATAACTCTGCTCTGAAAAGATGGTTGCCTCATCACTCGTTTTGTGATTGCTTGGTGGCCAGTTTGATGCAGAAGCATGCCTTTCCTGTCACCAGAGGCGCAAAGCATGGTTGCATAGTGGCATCTGTTGTGGTTCATCTACTTTTTGGCTGTGCTGTTGTATCCTCTGAAGAATTTTGACATGAGAATATGCATTGAGTGTGAGAACAGACAGCAACTTTTCAATCTGAAAAGGCACAAGCCTCGTACAAAATTCCACTAAGGTGCACTCTTGCCGAAGATTGTTCTGTTAGCACATACTCTGGAGGGCATCTGCTTTGTTAAAGCGTCAAAGCTTCAGCATTTTGAAAAATGGAGATTTCATAACAAATTGCTGCTGGCCACAAGTTTCAAAATCCTGTGGTGATAATCAACGATACATACCTGAACTTAGTTTGGAAGATCTGCTATCTTTGTATCTTTTGCGGCAGCACCATGTAGGATAATGAAATCGCACATCAGTTGGCAAATACAAGGTCAGCAAACAGTGGTTCTTGCAGCATTTCTGCATGAGCCATGGACTATCAGCATCATACAAAGCAACTTGATGAATTCCGCCTTCACTACTTACAATTCATTTGCAACATCAAGCAGCAGGACAAAAATCCCAATCATATTTCTTGCAAGATGCCACATACCTGCTATCAAGAGCATAATTATCAGAACTCAGCTTCTTTCGGTTGATCAGTGGTTCACATGGAGCATTCCTATGTAGCAGGGATAGAATTTGACAACTGGTTGAGCACAGGAACCCACATGGAAACCTTGATACAAAGGTATTTTGAAAAACAGTCTCAGAATCTCAGGAAAAGTCCTCAGCAGAGGCAATCTCAATTAGTGGAGAGAACATAGTTGGGTCCCTTCAGCCCAACAAGCATGCTGCAAAGCCAGAGTCAATACAGTGTGGAGCTGGAGGAACACAGCAGGTCGGGCAGCATCAGAGCAGAAAGAAAGTCGACATTTTGGGTTATCACCAGGACTGACCCCTCAGTCCTGATGAAGGGT